TAATTCTAGACATAACCAGGAGTCAAAGACTCAGGTCAATAAGCTTATAGGCGATTTGCACAAACATCTCCCGCAGCAAGGTAAACTGCAATGTCAAATCGTTTTTTCTCCTAAGTACGCCCCTTTATTTATTTATTTGAACTCCTAAAGCAGCCTTACTAATAGCATTAACTTAGGAAAAAAATGGCTCGGCGTTCGCTAATGTCATGCTTAAGTATGCTGTAAAGAAGTCCACTAAACGGCCGACAAAGCGTCATATCCTATTTAGAACTGCAATATAAAAATATTGTAATATGTAAAAGAAAAAAATATGTGGGGTTCTCATGCCTCTAAGGGCCCGTTCACACTAGCCCGTCCACTATAACTTTGCATTTTAGCAGGCGGGCTATTGCATCATGGTAGCTCCGGCATCATACGTTGTATCGCACACTGGGGGGAGAATTCATAAAAACTGCTCATAACAACCAATCAGCTTCTCTTTTTCATTTTCAAAGGTTAACTGAACAAATTAAAGAGAGGCTGATTGGTCGCCATGGGCAACTGCTGCAGTTTCTGTCTGCTCCAGTTTTTATGAATTCCCCCATATGTCAGAGCTGTCACTGTTTAAATTTTTTTAACTTTATCGGTAGTGTACAATGTGCACACACCATTCAGATTCCCAAACAGCAGCATGGTGCGCTGCACTGCCGTGTGGTGGCATGCTGCATTTTTTGCAGCACATCAGGAAGTTGTTGAACGGGATGGGCAGCAGTCACTACATATGAGGGATTTTTTTCAACTGATCTTATATTATATATTATAAGGCAACCGATACACGGAGTTATAACCCAAGCCCTAAGGTGAAGAATGAGTCCCAGAAGCAGATGCATGATGGGATTTGTTGTTTCACCATAGCTGTAGGGTCAGAGTTTTACCTACCCCGCGCTATGCAACAAGTCCTTCTATTACTCAGCACACACCAAGGCAGCACGTTAGTATCATAGGACACTGATTAAGTCTCACAGGTCTTTTTCTTGTGTCGGGACTGTATTGGGCAACGCTACTACGGGTGAACACGTCCTGAAATCACACATAAGCTTAAAAATACCCACCAGAAGTTGGAGGGAAACGCGTACCTAGCAACTGTATTCTTGTGTGGACAGAAGAGCTTTAAGTTGATGGAACTGAAAGACCGTCAAGGGAAATGTAAGACACAAGTGCACGCCGGCTTATGAGATGGCTCACGTCCAACTCACCTCTGGCTCCATTCTTATCATGAGATCCTCCAGTGGTCAGGACAGTAATACAGATTTCCAAATGATTCCTCTTTCACTTATCTGCCTTAATACAGGATCCACATTTGTGAGTGCGTCTGGTTTTAGTCAACTTTTCTAATAAATAAGGACTACTACACTATGCCGTTGTGCTCTCTTATGCTCTTAGTTTCGCAGTGCGCCGCCTGTCACAGCTGGGTTGTGGTGTGAACAGGGCACATAGAAAACAATCGTTTGCTATGTGTCCAAGCGGTGACCAGCATTGATTCAGTGTGATACAACTCAGGTCACCCCTGCATGTGTGAAAAGGGCCAGTAGCAGTAGCACATGGACAAGATCACATTTTTGAGACACTTCAGCAGTACCATGCTACTTTGTAAGGATAACCCTGCAGCTTCCAAAGGTTTTTTTCCCATTTGTTTTAACGTATGTGTGATTTCAGGGCTCGTTCACTCCAGTAGTGTTGGCCAATGGAGTCCCGACACAAGAAAAAGTCCTATGGGGCGCGGGTTGATACCAAAGCACTGCTTTGGTGTGCGCTGAAGAGCATTGTTGCATAACATATTACTGCATGCTGTAAAGCAGGGCTAGGCAAACTCCGGCTCTCCAGCTGTGGTAAAACTACAAATCCCAGAATGCATTTGCCTCTGGGGGTCTTGCAATGCCTAATGGGGTTTGTAGTTGCACCACAGCTGGAGGGTCAGAGCTTGCCCACCACCCCTGCTGTAAAGCTTTGCAATGCGCTGAAGTGCATAAGAATCACATACAAGTGATACAAAAAAAGCTAAAAGAGCAAACACTGTAATGTGTTTTAACAACGCATTACAACGCATGACATCATAGGTTCACAACATACACCAGCATGCCTGCGTAATGTGCATATTAAGACGCCCTCAGCGTTATCAGTTCGGCTGTAGTATTTCTCGGTGTTAGCTCCATTCTATTTCTACTCTGATGTGTGTATTAACCCCTTCATCTCCCTTATCCTGCATGTCTGTACATTAACCCCTTCATCTCCAACCCCCTACTGCATGTGACCTGTACATTAACCCCTTCAACTCCGTCTCCCTCCATGTGTGACCTGTACCATTACCAAGCTCCATGTGTTCATCCCCCTCAATACCAGCATGTTTCTGCATTCCAAAACATTGCAAAAAAAATCAGATCACTCTGGAGTGTCTACTTTCCAAAAAAGGGTAGTTTTGGGAGTTTTCATGCTGTCCTTACATTTTTATTTTTATACGTTTTATTAAACAAAGTATGATTTGGTTTGTTATTTGGATTTCGTATCTGTCCAAATTTTCATTTCTGAGCGATCTACAAAAATGACCATTCTTGTAATGCAACACCCAACAGCCATCAACACCCAACAGCCCCCCCAAAAAATATCTGATTGGCCAGAGAACTGTCACATGTGCGATTTAGTTTCAGATCCAAATTTTCGTTAAACAAGCATTCCACTTTCAACTAAATTTACATGTCTAGCCTTCATGGGCAGGTGTGAGTCTTTTTGCATACAGACCTCCCTAGGTAACACTTGCATGTGATGTTGAGCTTCCACGATTGAAAGGCATTAAATCACATGAATGAAAGAGGTAGGCTAGGGACAGTCAGGCTGAGGGAGGAAAGAGCCAAATGATGTGGGACATCCATCAGCCAGGAAATCAAACTGGCTCTATCTGACTTGTTGTAGTTTCTAATGCACACTGTGCAAAGCTCACATTGTGCAGTGAAATCAGAGTAGGCAATCTTAATGCAGGAGAGGAGCCGCTACAACTGTGTAAGACTGAAGGTAAGGCCGGAGTTCACCCTAATGACTATGACAGGTGGGCGGAGCTGAGGACTTGCCACCAGTGTCTCTGATGAGTTAATCAGCCCCCCAGCATCCAACTAAAACAGAAACATCGGTTTTACCAGGATTGAGCCTTCAAAGGCTCCATATCCCCATCATTTCCTTCCGATGATATACATTTAGACCTGGATTGTATTTTTTACCAATTTACTTTGCATAGAACCTGTTTAATGTCGTGTTTATTGGATGATTAAACATTTCTACAATGCTGTGACAATGGTAATAATGAGAAGAGCCGAGGTCTCTTCTGTAGCAACTTTATTCTGGCTTTACCACTAACAATACTGTGCTGTCCGGATGTATAGATGTATAGGTTGCCGGCAGCAGGGTAACAGACACAACTCTTCAGATTATTGCACTAAATAGGCATAACAAAGATCTCTGGGAGACCTGCAATCATTAAACGAGATAACATTTAAGATTTCGTATAAATAGATTTATCTATTGCTGTAAACAAGCTCTGCTCTGCCTGCTCAGCCTAAAATCCCCTAAGACATATTTATGTTGTGATTACAGAAGCAGATGAGTTAAAGGAATATTCCACATTTTATTAAAAAGAGATCTATAGTAGACATGTGCACAACAAAAAAAAATATTTTCTGAGAGGAAACAAATGAACAACGTTTTCATTCGTTTTTTCAAAGGAAACAATTTTCTATGTTGTTTTTGATTCGGAGGCAATGAGCCTCCGAATCCGAAACTGCACACTGAAACCGCAGAATGAGCGGCAGCCATATCAGCTGCCATTTTGGAGTAGATCTTGGTATACACCAAAATGGCGGCGCCCGCATGTTCGAGCGCCGCCATCTTAGTATATACCTAGATCTCTTTTTCAAAATGGCAGCTGATATGGCCGCCGCTCGTTCAGCGTGTGACGTCACCGTCATCTGACGTCACACACTCCGCCTCCGAAATGGCGGCGGGCATGCGCAGAACACGCCGGCGGACAATATCGACAGCTGATACTGCCTCTCTAGAGCCAGAGCCAGCTGTGCTCCCCTCTCCATCTATCCCCCCCAATGAGCAATGGAGGAACAGAAAGGGGGAGGGGGGAATCCCTGCATGGAGTGGTGACTGACAGTCACTGCTCTCTGCAGAGAGAAGCTGTGAGCTCAGTGATCAGTGGTTTGTGATCTCGAGCTATAGAGCTGAGGCGTGACAGCTGTAGTGTCACACACTAGCTCAAACTATTGGGAAGACTACATTTTACTCTCCCAATACTTCTCCTTTAAAAAAATGTAATAAATGCAAACTTCCTCATAATGTGCATTACATTTTTTTGGTATTGGAGCCAATAAAGCATTACAACTACAATTAGTAGCTCACGGGTGCAATACCTTGGCTCCTGCAGATCCTCCCTCAGTACCGAAGTGTGGATATTCAGTAACATGGACAATGAACAGACTAGGGGAGCAGCACAAGGAGCCAACTGCATGTGTTGCAGTGCAAGGGGCATGCTGATATAAAGAGAGAGCAGAGTGACAGAAAGATGAGCTTATTAGTCTGCTGCTTCTTCTTTCACTGTACAGTCAAGGGCTGGGGAAGGGACACGATCTCTAAGGGTTACTGAACTGTATCAGTGCAAAATCAGGTCTCCTGCCCAGCCAGAAAGGACTGTTCTGTGTGGCAGAGCTGTGTAAATCTCAGGACTGGATTGACAACAATAAAAATGCTTTGGCAATTCAAAAGGATCCCTTATATGTGTTTGATTTGTATATTTAGTTAGCTGGAGTTTGGCTTTAACGAGACCCCATCAATCTCTAAACATATCAGGTCCATGCCATAGAAGAGGTAGTATTCCTACCTCTCCATTGGCCTGTGACATGTGATAGAGGTTGTATCCAAAACTGAAACTGAAAACTGGCATAAGATGTGTCACAAGGCTGGACAATTACCTTTATTGCAGAAATATTCCACATGTTCACAGGACATATTCTCCGGCTCAAACTCCGAAGTGAAACTTTCTTCTAGAGTAAAATCTTCTTTAGAGACAATGTCATTCTCCTCGGACAAACAGTCTTCCTCGTCATCCTCTATGGCATCCTCCAGTGGACCTAAAAACAAAGTTCATATAGCTAAGTTCAGAGCAAGACTGGTACTTTTTTCAAAAATGTTTCCAGTTTTATGGACAACAAACCTCAAATACAATACAACAAACTGTGAATACAATATAACAAGCCTCAAATTCAATACAACAAGAATCAAACACAACATATCAAGCCTCAAATACAATACAACAAACTGTGAATACAATATAACAAGCCTCAAATTCAATACAACAAACCTCAAGTACAGTACAACAAACCTCAAATACAATACAACAAGCCTCAAATACAATACAACAAGCCTCAAATACAGTACAACAAACCTCAAATACAATACAACAAACCTCAAATACAATACAACAAGCCTCAAACACAACATATCAAGCATCAAATGCATTATAACAAGCCTCAAATACAATACAACAAGCCTCAAATACAATACAACAAGCCTCAAATACAGTACAACAAACCTCAAATACAATACAACAAACCTCAAATACAATACAACAAGCCTCAAACACAACATATCAAGCATCAAATACATTATAACAAACCTCAAATACAATACAACAAACTGCAAATACAACATAACAAACCTTAAATACAATATAACAAACTCCATATACAGTATTTTTATAGTAAGGCACACTATAGAGAGTTAAGGAGGCAGCCAGATAGTATGATTACAGTGACGTCATTGTAAGTCTTGCTCCTTCCATCTAAAACAGGTCAGTATTAAAGCCCAATTCAATTCTCACACCTTTACAGTCCTGTACCCCATGTTACGATTTATAACTGATTTCTGCTTAGAAATGCCTTAAAATACCTTTTTTTTCTCTGAGTGAAAATAAAATGATGCTTCTGGCTCTCCCACTGCAGTGTTCTGTGCTGGTAGAGGTGGGTAACAGTCACTCCCCTTATCACATGTGTTATCACATAGACTTGTATTGGAGAGAAAAAGAGGGGGTGTGTCTGGGCATGTCCGCTACTAAGTGCTGATTACAGAGGAACTAAGTAAGAGGAACGGAGTCTAACTCTGGCGTTTATTGGACTATGCAGTTATATCCAGACTTCCTGCACAACTTCTCTAACAAGAAAATTAAAGCATGGCTATGGAAAATGTAGGTTGTTAGTCTATCTCACAACCTACTTCCACTGTAACAACTTTATTCCACTGTAATTGAGGTTTAAAGTGTGCTGAATCTAATATGGAGACCAAGGAGACTCTCTCAGCACAAATACATTTTACATACAGGGAAGGGAATTTATCAAAACTGAAGCAGACAAAATATGGAGCAGCTGTCCACGGCAACCAATCAGCGTCCCTCTTTCATTTTCAAATCTCAACTGAACAAACTGAAGAGAGAAGCTAATTGGTTGTCGTGCACAGCTGCTCCATATTTTGCCTGCTCCAGTTTTGATAAATTCCCCCCAGTATGTTTTATGATCATCTAGGCCACCTATAGGCCACCTAGACCATCTATAATGATCATTGTCTTGTCTTTGCAATCTGTTTTGGACACATTGTGGCATCTACAGAGACCTTCTGACCATCCATTGTCAGGAGAACAAAAAAACAGTAGATTCTAAATTCTTAATTCTAAATTTTAGTAATTCTAAATGGATCTTCCTTAAAATGATGACTTGTTTCCCTGAGATAAGACCAGCATCAAGCATGTCTTTTTAACACATATGCACGTTCAGCCACAATGTCCATGCATGTTTTGATAAAGATTGATCTTAAGAAAGATCTTTCAGCATTCTGATCTTCTAACGCCTATATTTTGTCTACGGCTAACTACTGAGAGGCCATACACAGCCCTATTACAGCCAGCTCTCAATTTCCAGCATCGCTTGCTATAATCAGAGATTCTGTGACCTCCCAGAGGAAGATAATGAGGTCCTCCAGCAGCTGGAGAGGCTTGTTATCGCATTGGGTGATTGGAACTAATTAAAAGGGAAAAAAGGTATAGCTGTATAGATGGGTTGGGGGCAATACATGGCAGTGGCTGGAAAAATAGGACACCAAACGTACACATCGTTCAAAGATAGAAGATTGCTGAGAGGGGCTCTTTAAATGCAGAACAGAGAACACAAAGAATCAGAATAAAACAGAAAAATTAGAAAAGATAAATTTGTCGCTCTCTGCTTTAAAAAAGTTTTTTTTTTTTTTTAACTAAAACAGAAACCAACATTTTTAATACCTACAAACAGAAAATATAATAGGCAATTTATCTTTTTATTTATTTCAGGTATTTACAGTATATAGTACCGATAATTTACGCAAAGCTGTACATATTGCACCCTCACATCAGTCCCTGCCCTCAAAGAGCTTACAGTCTAAGGTCTCAATCTCACATGCATACCGAGCCAATTTACTTTCCAGCATGTCTTTGGAGTGTGGGAAGAAACCCATGCAAGCACAGGCAGAACAGACAAACTCCTTGCAAATAGTGTCCTGACCGGGATTCAAACCAGGGACCCTCCAGTGCGGCAAGGCAGAAGTGCCAACCACTAAGCCACAGTGCCTTATTTTACTTTACTTTTTTACTTTATTATTATTATTATATTCATATAGCACCAACAGTTTTTACAATGTAAGGAAGACATTGCAGTTACAATTCAAGACAAGATGGTTAGGAGGGCCCTGCCTGTGAGAGCTTACAATTAAAAATAGAGGGACAACTGATACAAAAGGTGATAGCATTTTAAAGCTTACAAACTGAAACCATAATAACCAATGGGTCCTTTTATTTTTAGCAGTATGAGTTTATTTGGCAACTCATACTGCTCCCATCCTCTGGAACTCCCTACTCCAATCTGTGCGCTTATCTCCTACTCCGTCCGCCTTTAGGTGATCCTTGAAAACTCCTCTCTTCAGGGAAGCCGATCCCAACTCAACATAATAACTGTCCTTTTACTTCTATTAACTCATCCCACACAATTGTTACCTTTTGTATACCTTACCCCTTCTACTAGATTGTAAGCTTTCACGAGCAGGGCCCTCCTACCTACTGTATTGAAATTGTATTGTAACTGTACTGTCTCCCTCCACTTTGTAGAGAGATGTGCCAGCTGTTGGCGCTATATAAATCTTGTATAATAATAATAATAGTAATAGTAACACAGAAGAAAACACATCAGTGTGCAATAACCCAAGACAGCCAAGCAAAAATCAGTTTTTGTGAAAAGGCCCATTGTAAACTGTCCACCGATGATTTCTCATGTACAGCAACAATCTTTGGGCTTTTATAAAACCGGCTCACATATATTAACTGCAAAAGAAAAAAAATTGTGAAAATGTAACTTTCACTTCTAAGCGTGATAGTTTCCTGCCTTCCTCTATGTCTAGCCTCTGCTGAAGACAAGAATTGATCACAGAGACATTCTAGTCTGCTGGAAATGTTCTTGTGCCAAAGTTAAGCTTGGTATCCTTTGTTTCGTGTCTGCTACAACACAAGTTTTCAACCCACAGAGCATATAACCCAGGAGATGAAAACAAAAATCCAAATAACAGAAAATGTATCAACTAACAAATCGTATGCATAAACCAAGTGTGTTGGAGGACAATAGTAACTGAACATTGTTTTGGAAAATATATAAATACGTTGAGCAGTTTGATAAGTAACAATTCTGACATTAGAGGATATCTGGCAAACACACAAGAGGGGCTACTTGGTAAACAACAACCATCATAACCAGGTTGAAGAGAGTAGAAAATAACAAAACAAACAAAAAAAAAAGATGTTAAGAAACACAGACCCAAAATACCTGATTGTGAATGACTGGAAATTACTAGCTACGGTAAGGCCACTGTTAAAGAGGAACTTTACCAATATCTTAGAAATGACAACAAGTACACCTTTGGAAATGTTTAGTAATGACAATCTTCAAGCAGATACTTATAGATAATTCACAGCAGACCTTGCCAGAGCAATGTGTATCAGCACGGGCACTTTAGGTGTCTTCTTTAGGGTGTGTCACAAGGTAACAATCAGGAACACAACTGGAAAACAGTTGCCACCCCATATCAGGAAGTGCCTGAACAAGGACCTGCATAACACGGTATATTAAAAGCTGCAGATGTAAATATAATAAAAACAGAATTTGAACAATAAAATATTAAAGCTTACATGAGATTTTACTGATTGAGTTTAGATTTTATTTAATTTTGATAAAACAAGTCTAAAAATGCTCAGTTTCATAGCAAAAAGAATGTTGTGCCTATCAGAAGCTTTGATATTCTTCAGAAAATATGCAGTATCAGATTTGTTTGTCATATCGGATCCACTTATCACAACTTTAAGTCTTATCTGCTAAAACTAGCCTGCCACAAATTCTCCTGAAACTCTAGCTGGAAACCTTCAGATACTTAGCAAAGATAAACTCTAAGACAGTTCTTCACAAGCAAGGCTCTTGTACATCCCACAGAGCACTTTAATGAAGGTTTGTTAGTTCTGTGGCCATTGCAAGACCACATAAGCCTTATGTAATTGAGCTTAACAGCAAGAATAAAAGTGCTATTTCTCTAGCTTCTAAAAAATCTATTTTAAATGAGTTAAGTTCCTCCTGCAGCCACTCAGTCACTTTAACAGGAGTTGCATCAGGGGATCTTGTAGGATGGAAATATTTTTTTATTAATTTTTCTCTTATCACCAGGAGAATGTTGCTTTTTTTCATTTACATTTCTAGCCTCCAGGTAGCAGAGTAGAGAATCATAGACTAGAAAATTTTGATTAATTTCTTTCCATGTGTTATGTTATTTCTTATATATAATTGATTTCTTTTGCTCGTAGCTGTACATCTATTTTATATCTGCACCTACTGCCTTCCTTCAATCAAGAAAGTTGAAGAAAATTACCTGAATTTTGTTAAGTTTATTAAAAAAAAAAAAAAGCGGCGCCTCTGTGAATATTTAAATTGTTAAGTTTATTAAAAAGAGCTCTGTGAATATTTAAATTGCGTTTTGAAATGCTAACGAAAGGAAGATATTACAGAATTTTAATAGT